TACATCCGTTCTCAATGATCATGGTTTACTTGTTTCACATAGATAAGTTCTAAGTGTTTCACAAAAAAAACGGTGGATAAGTTTAAGTTTGTTGCATATTTTTATGTCGCCGCTGAAATATATACAACTTTAACTTATAAATCAGTTTAACGAACCATAATATCTTTGGACCTTTGGTAAAGAATTAAGTGTTTGGATAACGAAACAAATTATGCTAATCTTGATTTAATTGTTATTTTTTCCTTGTCCACAACTGGATTCTCAATTTTGATTTTCTTTTTATTGTCTTAGCCAACCCTTTTCTATGAAATGTTGTTGAATTATGAAATCACATACGTCATTGTTCTTGCTTTATTTCTCCACTCTTATAATCAATTCTATAAATCTTTGTTTATATAATTGCAATGCAAGGCTGTTATCCCTCTGCTTTTAATTATTTCCTTTTCTTTATTATAGCTTATTTATACCATCTTTCCATTATTTTTTGAACTTTTGCACTTTCCATTCTGCAACCCGTATTTTTATCAAAGTACACAATTAAATAACTATAAGATAAATAACAATATAACTAGACAAGTTATAATATCGTAAATAGGCTATCCTATATCAAAGAGGATTCATTTTACTTCTTTAAATACAATTCACAAAGGTCAGTTTATTTTACTAAATTTGTCAGTAGAAAGTTTTGTTTACCAATCAATATCTTATATATTAAAACAGAAGTTATAACTTGACTTCATGTGTGATTTTTTTAAAAATAGACTATTACTATAAAGTTATGTTACATTAACTCTCTAATAATCTTATCAGTATTATATTTTATGAAAAATCATATATATAATAACAAAGATACGCTTAACAATTTGCTTTTGGTAAATTACCCCACACCTTCCAACTTAGTCACGCAAAATATGTCAATAGATATAAGTTTAGGAATCTTCTATTATTTATAATGAAATATGTCAATAATAATAATAATTAAATGCATCCACAATATATTAACAAAAATCACAGGTTCGTAATATGGAATATATATATAACCTAACAAAATTTACACGCTATATATACTAGATAAATTTATTTTGATGTAAATTTTTAAAATTATATTGTTTTAAAAAATGAAATTGTTTTAAAAAATTATTTTTAAATAAAATTCTTTATAAGATTAAATTATGAAGCTATAAGTTTAGTTTTTAGTAAAAATTTCTTCGAAATTTATATTATCTTTGCCAATTAAAGTATACTAATATTTAATCAAACTCTATTTATATTACCTTATCTAAAATGAAATACCAATCTAACAAAAATAAAATATAGAAGAAGAAATAACACATGTTTGAAAAATATGTATAATATAAAAGATTTTAAACAATCTATTTGATTATAACACGTATTATATAATATTATTATATTTGAAAAACATTTACTATACATATCGTAAATATGTGATTACTATAATATATACCAATTTACAAGTGAAAACAAAATGTTTATATAACTAACTATAAACGAAAACAAACACCCGCACGGTTGTGCGGGTCAAAATCTAGTTTCATATTAAAAAAAAAAGTTCACATCGTCAACTTACGATTTTGACTGTAAAATGTTTCGTTAGCTAATGTCTACTATTGGAAATGTTACAATAATTACATAATATTTTAAATGACTGATTGCCTAATTTTTACTAAATATTAATGGGAAATTGTGAGACAGAAGTCCATAATTTCTGGTTGTAAATATACATTAAAATATGCAAATTTAAAATTCCTAACAATCAGCAAATAAAAATACGTACAACTAATGATAGAATAGAGATGCAAGGCTGTGTCCTCTGCTTTTCTCATTTTTTTCTTCTTTTTTTTTCACTTTTGGCGTGTTCTGTTTCCAGTCTACCTCCCGTGATGTAATCAAATCTAGTGTTACACAAACTAATAGAGAAATGTTCTAAAAATCGGTCTAGGCGCCGATTAGGCGTCCGTCTAGGCGGCAAATCCCCTCTCACCGAAACAATTTTCTTAAAATCCGATTTATACAATTTAAGACAGTTTAAACCATGTTAAATCGGTTTAAATTGCTCTAAAACAGTTATAATTAGTATGAATTTTTTAAATTAAGTAATAATTTAGGAAATAATAACAAATTTGTGTAATTTATTTTATTTTGTATATCGGATTTTGATAATTTATTAAAATAAAATTATAATTAAACCAAAAAACTTAAATCGCTTATATAAATGTAAAATATATATAAAATAAATCAATAATTCGTTAACGCCTAATTCCCGCCTAGGTCCCGAATACTCCGCCTAGGCGCTAGTCCTCTATAGAACGCCTAGTTTCCGCCTAGCGATTTTTAGAACATTGGAAAAAAATAATCAGTTTCTTAACTTTAAAACAAATAATTAGGGAAGGAGATAAAGACGTGGCTAAAACTTAGAAGCTGTCAGAAAACGCCGAAAAGATATTTGCCTAAATATTAAGCATAATCCTGATTAGTGTTTTAGTGATTACTGATTAGTATGTCCCCTAACGCCTTCGCTAAACATATGGCATGTGCTACCTTAGCTATAACCACACACGACCACTTTATAAGTAATAACTAATGGTTTCTCCTTTATTCACGCTTTTTTACAAAATTAAATAGACATTAAGGTTTAGTTAAGTATCCAGTGAAACTGGTTAACTGGATTTTTTTTCCTTTTATGTAGTTTTTTTCCCCTTATGTAGTTGAACTTAACAGCTCTACATGTTACATTAATTTTTACAAGTGTTTATCAGATTTGTTGTAACTGAGCAGAGTAAGATAGCAAACTCAGTTTTATTTCTGACTGATAATCCATCCATTTCATACTAAGTGTCATTGTAAAAAATAAAAAAAATACTACAAGATATTTTTTTCCAATTTTTAATACAAATTTATTAATTTTATATTATAATGTATTTTTCTATTGGTTAAATATGATTATGTGTATAGACAATTATGTGGTTTATATAAAAAATATGTAAAATTAATTGTTTTTTAATCTTTGTGCACAAATTTTAAATAATACTTAATATAAAATAGATAGAATATTAATTAGTGCCATATGGTCCGTGAAAGCTATGAGTACTTGTTTCCTAGCTTGGAAAATATAAGGAATACAAAACTTTAAACTGGGTTCATCCCCTCTTATTATAGCTAATCAGCGTCTCATAATGAAAAAAAAAAATACTTAAGGCGATAGTTGTTTTAGGGAAATTGACTAAATAGTTTAACTAAAACAAAAGGAAATAGCAGAATGACAGTGAAATATTAGGCATGGAGATTCATATACACTTACCACTCTAGACACCCATTTCAACGTGCGTAGGCCTCTCTCCTATGCCGTAGCGGAATCGAATTGGATTGAATTCGGGTTTAATATGTGGTGCATCTTCCTCCTGCGGTATGTATGTATACCAACCCCGTGGGATTGACTCAAAATATTTATTCATAACATAGTTGTAAGCTGTTATGCAGTATAGTAAATGAGGGCAGAAAGAGACACCAAAATGCCGATGCATAGCATTCAGATGGATGGTTGTGCAATTATTGTAAGCAATAATAATGAAATATGCATAGCCAAAGAAGATTTGGTTATAAGAAAAGAGACTAGAAGATCCTTAAATCCAACAAGTGGGGTTACGTACGTACCGCATGAGGGGGATGCACCCTACCCTCCATATCATGCAATTGATTGACCAACTCATGTTTTTTTTTTTTTGAACTGAAAATATTTTGTTTTATGATTGACCAACTCATGTTTGTTTAAATATTTTGTTTTATGTTTATTTCTACATATTTACCATCATAGTTCCAAATAGTTAGCAGTCTTCTTTCTAGCAAATATTTACTATAGTCAAGTTTCAAAGAAAAAAGATTTACTATAAGTCTATAACATATGAACGACCCTGTATATTCAAATAAATCGATAAGAGAAGTGTGTATGTGTGCCTATATTTTTGTTTTGTTTTTTGTAGCGAATACCATGATGTTAATACTAACCATGATGTTAATAATAGAAATATTGTCTAGACCGAATTTGGAGAATAAGCACATCATTTTAGACCAAGAGTAACAACTGCATATGAAGTTCATTGATTTATGATTCGCATTAAAATTTAAGATATAATGATTTTTTTGCATATTTGTTTTGTCTGCTTGTTGTTCTGAGAATATTTCTCAAAAGCAAGATAGAGAAGAAAATTGAGATGGGGCATCGCCGCACATGGAGGCATGGACACAATTCCAAAACTACAAACAAAAAAAAGAAGTGATTTGGTACGTCGTGTTATATATTTAATTTATTAAAAAATATACATATGTGGAAAATAAAATTAAGTTGTTCGGGATACAAAAGCATCTTCGGTTAACATTTTAACTGCTAGTGGTGAGAGACAAAAAATATACAATTTGGTAATATGCTTCGTTTATCATAAATTAATAATCTTAATAGTTCCTGCTACCCATGTGGTGTGGGTTTTATATCTTTTCAAACTTAAAACTTACAACTTAAAAGGTTAAGCTCTTAAAAATGTTTTTTTTTTCTATGCAATTTACTATGAATGTTTATTCAAATTTAAATGTATTTTTGTTTGTCAACAAATTTAATGCCTTTTGTTTTCTGCCAACAAATTAAAATGTCTTATCAGTTTTATAGTGTTTTGGAATTCTATATGTACGTATAGTCAATAAAGTGATAGTTACATCAAAATACGAATCTTATCCCGTGTATAATCTAAGGGCCATGTAATTCTTTCCATAATCAGTTCACTAACACAATTATCTAAACAAAGACTTTTAATACGAACCATAATAATTAAACAAAAATAAATATAAAAAACATAATTATAAATTCATCACTAACTCGAAAAGACAGAAAACAATTTCGTAATTATTTCGAAAACTCAATGGCAATATCGTATTCCCTTCACTATTTAAACATCATCTCTCCCAAATGCTCCAATCCCCTCCCACCTGACATTTTCTCTCACTTTCTCGTGACAAAAAAAAAACATTTCAGCTCCCGAATATTCCGCCTTTTTCTACTTAAATTGTGACTAAATCGAAAAAAAAAAAACAATGGCCGGAAGTCTTGTAAAATGCAGCAAGATCCGCCACATTGTGAGGCTCAGGCAAATGCTCCGTCGATGGCGCAACAAAGCTCGGTTATCTTCAGTCACCCGTTGCGTGCCGTCCGATGTTCCGTCTGGACACGTGGCGGTTTGCGTGGGTAGCGAGTGCAGGAGATTTGTGGTGCGCGCGTCGTACCTGAACCATCCGGTCCTGAGCAATCTACTCGTCCAAGCTGAGGAAGAGTACGGTTTCGTTAACCAGGGACCGTTGGTTATCCCCTGTGAAGAGTCGGTTTTCGAGGAAGCGATCCGGTTTATTTCTAAGTCTGATTCTTCCCGGTCGAACCGGTTTACTTGCCCTGAAGATTTACAGAAATGCCACGGAGGAATCAAGAGCAAGCTTGATCTGTTGATCGAGTCTCATCCGTTGCTTCACGGCGTCGTCGTCGAGAAAGCCGTCTGGTGAAGAGTGTCGTCGGTCCGTACGGTTTCTGACCCGGTTTGACTCGGAACGAGAAGGAAGAAGACGAATTTTTGAATAAATCGTCATTGAGTAGGCCGGTTTACCACTGAGCCGGGTGGTGCTAATTCCGGTTTAACTTTTTTATTTTTTTAATATTAATTATATTGGGGGCCTGGGGTTTAAAGCTGGTGGCGAGTTACTCACTGAGTCGAGACATGGAGAGAAGGAGATGGCGGTTAAAAGGTGGGTGAGTCGTTCCACCGAGTCATCCCGGGTCGAGTACGAGTTCACAGATTGTAAATGTAAATAAGAAAAAATGAACATTTTGTATTGGACTTTTGATTTGAATATTATCACATTTCACTCCAACTCGTCGACATAAGTATTTTAAGCTTAATAAATTACAATGGATATGTATGTACTTATTAGTATAAAGAATTCAAATTAAAACATTAAATATACTTAATATTTATATGTTGCCGAAAATTTTAAAGTCTTTTTGCCAAGAAAACAAAAGAAGAGAAATATTTATTATGTTCAAAGGTAACGATAAATATATTGTGCCAAGAAAACAAAAGAAGAGAAATATTTTTGCAAATTTAAAACTGTTGCATTCCGACAGAGGCCATGTGAAGGAAGGACTATTAGCCCATTTTATCTGTTTCGCCTGACTGTTCTCAACTTCTTTGTTTGTTTTGTCTTAACTTTCTCATTACGGTAAAAAGTACAGTCTACGGTACACATAATCATTTACAGCTTACTTTAATAAGCATTGGGAATTATTTTGTGTTACTTTAAATTGTTTTACACTAAATTAATGCTCCAACTTAAAAAGTACTACTTCCTTCGATCGCGATCACCATTATCTTTTTTTTTACAATATAAGTATGTCTTACGTACGTCTTTGTTTATGTGAAGAGAATACGAGTAGTTTTTAACTTTTAACTAAATAATACAGTAATTCTTATTTGTCAAAAAAAATTTTGGTAAAAATGTTAAGAAATTTGTCAATTATTCGGTACTGCAAGGTACATCGTCTTCTATTACTCTAAGGATTTGGGTGTTTTTTTATAGATAATGACAATTGTATTTTATATTTATCTGATAAAAGGATACAGCTATAAATAAGAATCGTTGCGGCGGCATAAGTAGTTTGGTAGGTGTGGACAACCGTATGTGGGAGGGGGGGGGGGGACTTTTTAATAAGGTCAACATGAAGTAAAGTAAATATGGTTAAACTATTAGTTAGTGAGTTCTAAAGTAGAATAATTTAACTGATTTTTTCTTTTTGCAGTTCATCTACATAAACTTTTAAATCTACAAAATTAATAATCGAAACATCGTAAGCACAATCACTATAGTCTATTATTTTAGAGGATATGGATTCAAAGTCATTTCATATATCATTTTCAACTGATTGTTTCTTGGCAAAATAACAGTTGGAAATGGAATCATCAGCTATCTGTTTTCTGTTACATTAAAGTTGTGTAGACTTGAAAAGAAAATGCACTTGGTCATTTTTTTGTTATAAAAATGTCACAATACTTTTTAAAAGTTACAATAATGCTATCTATATATGTTTTTATGAAAATGACTGTCTCCATCATACTAAACCCCACATTTATACGATATTTGGCATATGTTCTAACAGTTTTTTCTACTTTAAAATCTACACACTCATAATATGCATTAATACAAACATGAGAGAAAAAAATACTTCATAAAACAATACATTCAACAATATATACATAAATATCTCTACATGTCCTTTTCTATATGTACGAACACTCTACTGCCACTTGGAATGACAAGAATATATGTGTATATAATTTATAAACTGGAGCTATATGCGATACGTTTTTAGTGGATTCGTATAGATAGAAGAAAATACTCCATTATTAGGCACAGAAAATTAAATTTCTATTGATGCTAAGAAGATTCTCCAAAAGGACAGCGAAGAGAAACCCCATTGGGAGCTATCGATCCAATCACGGAACTTCTAAGTTGTAACTTTCAACCTCTGCCCTTACCTATGATCGTTTCACGGTCTCTACCCTTCCTCACGCTCATTGTTTTTTTTTTCTTGTTTACAAAAACTAATTTTAATTTTAATGAGAATTGAAAATAAATTTTGGGGAAAACTAAAGAACTGGGGTATACGAAAAATTGTATACTATTTGGATTCTGGAGAGCTTCGTGTACAGAAAATAAAGTTACAATCGTTTACTACTTTTCCTGGACTTTAGATTTTTCACACATGGTTCCGTTAAAATTCATTTACTTCAGTTTTATTCTCGCTCTCCTATTTTTTCTTATTGATTGAATTTAATATATGATAACATGTTAGAAAGGCCAGTACTGAATAAAACCAGATAAAACATTTATTTTATACCTCCGGATCTTGTGAAAAAACATTATATATAAATCCTCAAATTTGAAAAAAGAAAATTAGATCCCAAAATTCTTAATTTTTTTACTAAGAGCCACAAAATCTCAACCCCGGCCTTGTGTGTTAGACTGTTAGTGTATAGTTACCAAAGATACTTGCACCTTTATTTATTTCAACTAGATCAACATGCAGATCACTTCACGTTCATACATTATAGTCTTGATTTGAAATTTTAAAAATGTAAGAATTAAACGATTTTTTTTTTGTTATGATTAGGGCTTCTTCCGGTGGGTGCGTATGTGTAGAGAAAACTGAAACCAGCGGCCCTTTTGTCTCTATCGTTGAATACAGTCCTATTCTTTGACATATATTGGTTTAGTTGTAACATTTATATTTGATTTAACAAATCTCCTTTTATCTAGTTGAACTAACTACAGTTGGATGGATAATGGTGCAATCTGTTGTTATCACATCAAGTTGAACCAAAATGTAACATAGAGACCGAACTGAAACTTAAAATGTTAGAACTTCGCTGAATATTTCTGATCACAAAATTATTAATAAAAGGTTTGTTCGTTTTTCAACTTATAAAGAAGATTTTATAAACATGGTACACTCAACAAATAACACCCTAGTGTTTTATTTATGACCGTTGGCTTGTAAATTGGGTACCGCATTGATTACAGACTCGTCAAAAGCCGGATGGTGGTGGAGTTTAATATGGAAATAATTAAGTCAATCTAATTTTAAGAAATATATCATAAGATAATTAAACTCAAGGGAATTATATATTAGATTGATCTTATGTGGCTAATATCTCTCTAAAGTAATTATTTTGAGTAACACATTTACATAAGTTTCTTCGATTATAGACGTTTAGTCTCTCATTGACCCACGAATACTTATACGCATACATACATATATTGTGACTTCTCACATTTTTTTTTGGTCATCTGATTTGAAAAAAGGAAATACACTCATAAGTGAAAAAAACACCCAACACCGTGACAAGTCACAATACAGAAATAGACTGCTTTACTGATTGCATGTCTTTATAAATATAGGTTACAGCAACTTTTTATTTTCAAGCTCAGAAACTTTTTGAGGGGGAAAATCAAAGACTGAGGAACTGAGGAAGGTAAGATCTGTCACTTTGGTTAGCAAATGAGAAAATGGTTGTCAATTCTATGTAGATATGTCTATGTTAGATTTTGTATTACTTGCATGTCTTTGTCGATTGTAAAGCATTGTTTGGGATTTTAAAGAGAGGATCTATACTATTAGATATCGTCGGGTAGTATATGTGACTTGTCGGGGTGAGAAATATTGGTCCTAGAGTTAATGAGGACTTAGTGTAGCTGTCATTCATGAAAATGAAATATGGAAATAGAAACATAAACCATAACTTTATAAAAAAGAAAACAATAAAACATAGTGTGGTTGTTTATATTTTTGAATCTTATGCTACTAGCAAATATGAATGGCAATAATAGCACGTAGCTAGCTCAAACTGTTTTTACTGAGATGTGGCCTAGTCTCACGTAGATTCGATCCAACTTCTCAAATATCAAAGTGTATTAGTGGTAAATGTAAACAAATACTTCTTTAAAATCATTATAATTCTAAGTTTCTGACATACTATTTTCCTGTAAAACCTTAAAAAAGTAATAGAGCCTTACGTGATGAGTGTAGGTGCTGCTCTCTTTTGTTGCATGAAATATCTCTTCATCTGAAATATTTTTTTATCTAGTGTAAGTTTTTTCTTTTTTAACACCACTGTAAATTTCTTCAAAACGAGATAAATGGGCTAGCAACGCATGCACACCAAAGAATCAGTGGAAAAGTGTATAGAGATATAACCATTGTACGGTCTTATACAACAAGGCCTATTATAGAGAACTATTAAGAATATTTAGTCATTTGTTGGGCTAGGCTTTATTATTTACTCGGTGTAATTTCTAATTTTTTAAAACCCAAACAAGTCACCCTCCAGGCCGCCACTAGAAAGAACCGGTTCGGTTTGCTTGGGATTCAGTTACAAAACATAAACCGGTGGTTAATCACGTGATAACCGATTTATAACGTATGGTTAGCTTGAGACGGAGTTTGGTGAAGGACAGCGACGCCACACAAACGTGCACTTCAAAAGTGTGTGCGGGTGTACAGTAAAATCTCTCCATACCTTGTCATCATTCTCTCCCATTTACTCTCTTTTTGCACACACTTAAGTGTATGATTGTACCTTATTGTTATCATTACATAAACGAATATAAACCCCTTTGAGCTCTCTTTCTAGGCTATTTATTTTCATGTATTTTACAGTAACACTGTTTAAGAATGATTTACAGTATATGTAAATTATGTGATCAGTTCTCTTATATTAATGGTTAAAATGTTAGCAAATTTTAATGAAAAAGTTGAATCGCCGTGCTTCCTCTAGTGAGATATGTTGTCTTAAGCCTGAAGGTGGACTTCAAGACGTTGCAAAGCATTGACGTACGTCGCTAACAAATAGTTTTTTTTTTATCACTGCATTGTAGTCATAATTGTTGGGAAACAAACTATAGTAATCCGTAATTTGATATTAACACTCATTAAGCAATACAAACGTAGAATAAAGTTAAGAGATATATATGTAAGATTACATTACCAAGAGGCAAGAGCTACTGTTATAGTGGTGTTTGAGTCATTTTTAGATAAAATCAGAATTACAGATTTTAGAACTATGATATTTTCAAACCGGAGATAGAGCATGATGAACGTTGTGATATATTTCCTCGTCGGTAACTTGGTATTCGAAACTTTATTCCTAAAATCTCTCCCTATGATAAAATTTTTAGAAAAATCTATAGCATAGATAAGAACTATCGTGTAAGAAAACAAACTACACGTACGCTAGAAAAATTTGGACCCATCCACAACCCTTGGTTAAAAAGGTGCAACAAGAAAGAAGAAGGGTGGGGTAAATTGATAAA